GAACCGTAACCTCCCTCTGTTTGACACTAACGACAATAAACACACAATATACTTGAAAATAAGTACAAAATAAGGTAAAAACATTGGAGATTATTAAAATGTTTAGATACTTAAATAGCACATTTTTACAAGAAACATGTAAAAATTGCCTACTAGTATAAGCTAAAGTTAATGTTAGTCATAAAGTAAAACTCATCTTTGTATCCGTGAATGTTTAACGAGGCGTACTTCTTAAAACCTTTCTCCAGCTTACTTGTTGGGGTTTCGGATCGATGTACATCATTAATTGTTACCTTGGCCAACCCCTGCAAGCACCTAGTGTAAAATACCATTCTCAATAGACCGGAAACGACCGAGCCGCTTTTCCCCGAACATGGAAGCTGACGTGCAAAGAGCCATTGTACCTCTATTGTGATGCACTGCAGCCGCTGCAATTCCTAAAAGTTAAACAAGCGACAAAAACTGAATGAATCCCCTCCTTTGTTCGTAAAACGTGGTGATATTTACAACAGTCATCAAACTACGGCTCCTACAGCATATGTAAAATAAAACAATTTACCAATATAAGAAAAATTAGCCCTTTCTTGCATCTTGACAGAATTAACAGAAACCAAACTGCTTATAGATTTATACATAAGTTTATACATAAATTCAGGGAGAATTTATGTAGCACACATCAGTTTTCTCAGCTTTATTTTAAATCAGATTTAATAGATATATCTGATTATAAATGATGGCGCTACTTTTATTTTGGTGACAGATTTCTGCTCGTCCTGCATTGGAGCTGAATAGTTTTCTGGACACAACTCAATGCATCATATAGCGACTAAGGCGTTGTCCAGTCCAGTAACACATATCAATTAGCAGCAGTATGAAAGACGTAAAAATAATCAACTATACTACATTAAGAAATTATATTTAATCCTCAGTGCTACATGTAGCTCTTTTTGAAACAATGCAAGTTAAAAACAATATTTTGCAACAAGTAAGTCAAGTAAATTAAGTCCAATGTTAGGTCTGTACAAGCTAAACGTGAGAAACGTGACATTATGCTGCCACCCCCTGAAAAATCCTGTCCCCCCGGCCCCCTTTTGCTACCCCATAGATATTTTTCTAGATCCGCCACGGGCTTCAGCTAAGGGTTAGAGGTCATGAGCTTAGTCAGTGCTAGCAGAAATAGAAAGAGAGAGAGAGGGAGAGAGAGAGAGAGAGAGAGAGAGAGAGAGAGAGAGAGAGAGAAATGTATGAACACAGGAGTGTCAAACATATTTTTAAACTGATGGTCTCAGCTGCATCAGTTCTCATTTTAGTGACTCTGTTTCTCTCCCCAGGTCACCCTGAGTGCATTGAAGCGCTTGTTCACTGCAGAGCAGATGTGGATCAGGATATTGACTCATTAGGGTCTCCTCTTCATGCAATCAGCAACTGAGCTCAGTGAAGAAACCAACTTCAGCTCGGTGAGGAGGCGTCAGGTTTCAGCTTTTATCCTCACAAACATTCATTGTGGCCTTAGACTGATGATGGACCGAAATAACCGCATTCAAACTTGTAAACTTGTAATGAGGCAGAAAGTTTCTCTCTTTTTTTTTTCTTTTTTTTTGCATTTGAATTAGAAGGTTTCAAAATGACTCTGAATGACCTCTTTCAAAGTTATCAAGTAACTTTCACTTAATTTCCATCAGACATGTAACCATCAATGAAGAATTACTTTCCCTAAACAGAACGAAATGTTTAAGTGAAACGGACAGTATCAAAAGTGTGGTGTGCATTTATATCCAGCCCCACAAGATAAGAGAAATTGCACTGTATAAAAATTGTAAACGTGGGGGAAAAAAAAATAAAAATCAAAATGCTACAAATGGAGTGCAGTGAATTATTTTAAACTCCTTCCCTCTCCCACTACAGGTGCCGATGCTAACAAGAGCACTTCTGGTGACTCTCCCCTGCACATCGCTGCACGTCTGTCCAGCCCTGAGTTGGTTTCTGCCCTCCTCCACTACGGAGCGGACCGGCTCCTGGTGAACTCGGAGGGCAAGCGGCGTCTGGACCTGGTTCCTCCTGACAGCCCAGTGGGGCGACTGCTGAGAGAGACAGGAGGTATTCAGTTCACAGTTACAGAGTGAGCTAAGAGAGATGGGTGGGCATCCAACGCTCTTTGTACTGGGATGCTGGGACTGTAAGCACACAATCAAACCCTCTCTCTCTGATGACCCCGGCAGTGTCTCCTTTAAAGCAGCTGTGCCGGGCTACGCATCAGGAAAACTGTGGGGAAGCAGAGGCTGGGTGGGATTCCTGAACCTTCACCTCCCCACAAAGCTGATGCCGTATCTGCTCTTCCAATCAGAGCAGAGGGATGCTCACAAACACTGAAATCACTTCCATCTTTCAACCCCAAACTCTGAGCACTTTCACATTCAGGCCAGCAGGGGGAGAACTTGCACAACCTGGCAGGATAATTCCACTAGGAGAGCTTCAAGATGAGTGTGAGCTGATTTATTATGCAAATAAAGAAACTTCTTGTTGGAAGATGCTTTTATAAAATATTCATTAGCAATAACACATATCAAATGAAAATAAAATCAAAGCACACAGATCTCTGAAAGACTAACTTTAACACAACATATGAATCCTCATTAATGTTGCATTTATTTCCAGGTTGTAAATAAAACCTGGGCTTTATAGACGTATTAAAAAACACGAGACAAATGTTTCTATTAATTCATTTTCCAGCTAAAAAAAAAAAAAAAATCTAACAGTTAAACCAGAATACACAGAATACCTTAAATAAAAGTTGCCATGTCTCAGATGGTTTCATCTGGGTTGGAGAAAACATGTATTTAAAATCTTTAATATTTTATTTATTGGCATTGCTGCTTGAATTGAACTACTTGAAAGCAATGCTTCCAATTCTGTTCTCTATTAATTTGTAGTGCTTGTTTCCAATGTGTTTTTTTTCTTCTTCATTTCAACCATTAATAAGATATGACTTGTTTTGCAAAGTGTCTCAAGATGACATTTGTTGTGAATTGGCATTATGCAAATAAACTGAATTGAAATTTCATCTACTGCTGATGATTATATATATATATATATCACCTTTGACACACAAAATGCACCTTTGGCACAGTGCTGCAAGGCTGCACACACTGATTACACAAGGCAATAGAATAATCTCGTTTTTATTTCATTGTAAAAACGAAAGTGTTTAGGTTGTATGTTTGTATCTCGCAAGATAACGTACTACAGCAAATCAATATACAAAATGACACAGAGAACAGCTTTAAACAGGATTGAGATAGTACTGTGCACCTGCTATTTTACTTTATTCGGCTCTCAGTAATGGGAGTCAAAGATTTATTCTGGTGTCCGTGTTATCTTCATTTCCCAAAATGCAGCATTGTGGAGTTGTTGTCATTTGCTGTAATATATACAAGGAAATAACAATATCTTGATTTGACAAAGTCTTCTTTAGCTTGTAACAAAATCTTTCCTCATACTCGAAAACACTGACCTCTGATCAGAGTTTGTCATAATACCAGAGGGACTGAAAGTAGAAAGCAAGTTTATAATTTGACTGAAAGAAAACACCAAGACTTAGCAACATAGCAGATGTTGTCACTGGAATAAACCGGGTTTTAAGGTGCTCCTTGACTTTTTCACATTTTGCGACATTATAGCCACTAACTGAAGTTTTGTTGGCATTTTAATCATAGATTTTAATTACATTTGAATCATTTTAATCATAGACCAACAATCAGATCAATTTCTGTCTCAATACTAAGGTCTGATCACCATCGGACCTGTAGAATCAAGAAACTCTTCTAAAGAAAATCTAAAAGGTCTCAAAAAGCAACACGCCATGGCCTGATCAAAAGAATCTCACAAGCAGATGGGAAACAAATCACTGACATCTAACACTTTGTGATGTCAGTGGTCGGAAAAGCACTGTACAAGTTCAGTCTATTTACTGTTTATCATTCATCAGTCTGGAAGGATTAAGCTCAGTGTTGAGAATGTAGCAATAAGGAACTCTATGGGGGAATTTTAAGAAAACAAATGACTGCTGACCAAACAGAACACAAAGGTCAAGCTTCATATCCCCCCCCAAAAAAAACCCAAAAACATCTTGATAACTTTTGGGAAAACATACTGTAATAAAGACACAAAATTAATAGGAAAAAAAGTGGAGCATAATGAAATGTGTGTTCTGTTACATCTGCTGTTTTACCAACAGCATTTCAGAGAAGACCATTTTATTGAGAATGAAACACAGTGGTTGTAGTGTGATAGTCTGGGGTTGAGTTGCTGTAACTGATGGAACCATAAAATCTGCTCTTAACCAGAAAATGCAGGTGGAGGATGTGCAGGCAGAAGTTGGTGACCTTAAACTCAGGCAGATTTGGGCCGTGCACCCGGGCAGTGATCGGGATGACAAGCTGGACTTGCTTTTTCACACACGAAAAAGCAAGTCCAAAAGCAAGGTTATTTGGATGCCCTACCTTAAAAATTAAATGCATCTTTTCGAAACTCTATTTAAATTAATCTAGTTAATTTTGTCTAAAATTTTCGTTTGTTTTGAATGGCTGAAATGTAAAATAAGTTTCACAGTATATTTTTTTTAAAATAGAAATCTGGAAAAGTTGTGTAAACAACTTTTAACATTTACCACATATTCCCAATGGGATTTGGGTCTAGAATTTGATTGGGCCATTCATATTTGCTTGATCTAAACCATTTCATTATATATCTGGCTATATTTCAAAGTGTTGAACCTTCTCTCAAATCTCAGTTCCTATAAATCCTCTTAATAGTTTCCTTCCACCATTTCTCTCTATTTGGCTCCATGTCTGGCCAGCTTCTCTAGTATCGCTAAAGAAAAGCATCCCCACAGGATGATGCTGTCACTACTTTTTACAGTCAGAATGGTTTAATCAGGGTTTTGCTTTTTTGCCCTGAACTCACTGCAGCACTTTCTTCTGCCACTGACTGGCTTCTGGCAAACTGAAAATGTGGCTTCCTCTCATAGGTCCTCTCGTAAATTCATCCTCTCACGATTTGAAAGGATGAATTTAATTAGGTTGCGCATTGTAAGCATCGATCTAACCAGTTCATTCACAGTGACGTGTATGGAGCGAGTTCCTCCATGGAGATTAACATCGTCCACATAGCGACCAAAGCGAAAGTCACTCAGCTCGCCCACATCCGCCTAGTTAAATGCAGCTCTCATTAAGTTTGCATCGATCCCTTTGTTCCAATTTGCCGACCAAACTAAATCATCGCCTGCTTTCCAAATGCAGCACAAGTGCCCAGGAGTCAGAAACACACTGTGGCATGTTTCGATTTAACCGGTTGTTTAATGTAAAAATCAATTTCCGTGGAGAAGCCTCCGACTCCTGCAGCTGCAGGGAAACACATTTTGTAAACACTGCTCAGCAGTTAGTTGGATCGTGACAAATCGGCGGGAGGACTCTGTCAGGGAATGGCGGTCACATGTCCATTTGAAGAACGATCCACTTCAGTCATGGTTGCATTTCTGACGGAGGGTGCTCCTCATCCTCGCAGTGCAGCCTGATGTTTTCCTACATTTAGCCAGGTACGCCGCAGCACTCAGCTGCACTTAAAATCAGCCTATGTATGTGTGAGACCAAAGCTTTTACTAGTATTCTCCAGAGGAACACACTCCATTAACCCCCCCCATCCTGTTCCTTCCTTCCTTCCTGTTTCTCTATATACAGTGGCACTTTCTACCTCCCAAAAAATTTCCAAATGGCCTTTTTCGTGAGGAATTGAGGAGAAACTTGCGCACGAAAGAGCAAGTTTGCATCTAGTGAAAGAGTGTTTGTCACACGTTCATCTTTCTTTGACAAACTACAGGAGAACAAGAATACGAAGATAAGGAGGCTGCTTGCATACACAGAAACAACAGCACTTACAGAGGCATTCACTGGATATTTTGTATTACAAACTTTAATGCATTTTAATGAAAATTTGTAGTCATCCCACCTGAATTAATGCTTTGTAGAACCAGCTGCCACTTTAATTACAGCTACACGTTTTGGGGGTTTATTTTCACACTAACTTCATACATAGAAACTGGATATTTTGTCCTTCTATCCTAACCTCAGACTGGATGGAGAGCATAATTTTTCAGTATAAATGTTTAATTGCTGCCACCGATTCTCAATTGGATTTTGACCTGGACTTTGCTTGGGGAATGGTTCAACTCACGCTTTCATCTAAATCTCCTCCCTGTTGCCCCGGCTACGGGTTTCTGGTGGTCGTGCTGCTGAAAAGTGAACTTGTGAATAAGTCTTAGAACCTGCTTCCACATCCCTGTTAAACACATTCCCATGTCATGATGATGCCTCCACCATGTTTCACAGTGGGGATAATCAGGGTGGAGTGCAGTGCGAGTTTTCCTCTACACAGAGAATGTCCCTATGTTTGGAGTTACCCATAAATGGCTTACAGCAAACTGCAAATTCAAGTTGCTGTGACTTTCATTCAATCAGGGCTTTGCTCTCGTCTCTTTCCAAATTTTAATTAAGGTTTGAATCTTTACAGCTCCTATGGAGTTACCACTGGTCTCTTGTCTGCTTCGCAAAAATTCTGCTCTCTAGTCCTTAATCAAGCGAATTAAGGGGAAGGGAGTAAAGGGGGCTAAATATAACTGCACACCACACTTTTCAGATTTTTACGACTGAAAAAGTTGGAAACCGAGCCGCATTTCTTCCCACTTCACAGTTACACAACTTCAAGTTGTTTGGTTACATAAAATCCTAACAAATAAATTAATGTTGGCGGCTGTAAAAGGGATCTGAATACTTTTTCAACGTACTGTAGCCTGAAGCCTTCAAGAGTCAAACATTCAGTGGTATCCGACGAAAAAATAAAATGGAATTTTTTACTTTTTTTTAAACAATCAAAGGAAGATTAGCTTTCTCACGTTACACGAATCACTCCAAGTGGCAACCACTCACCGCAAACAAACGGCGGTTGTTGATTTCAGTCATCTCTCGGGTGTGCAAACATCTAATAACAAGCTCACTCCTCACACCCCGGCTCGCGTCCTGATTGCTCCGAGCTGGATCTTGTTAACGATATCAGCGCTTCCCACCAAGATACAAGTGGGTTGTGCCACGTCCTTGTGCTCTGCCAGTAATTGCTTTGGTATTTTTAGTTGAGTTTAGTGTTGGGGTAATTAAAATAAAATGAGGTGGTGGAGACGCAGTTCTCTCCTGGGCTCCCGGGTCTGAGCGTGGAGAAGTTTAGTAAGGTCATTCGCTGCAATGTTTTCAATTACAAAGCTCCTTTTTAATGGGAGCTTATTAAAGTGAGGGAATAATTTTGCATAACCGGGCAACTTTAGTGGCTGAAACAGCTAGAGCTGAAGAAGAAGGCGGGTATTTAAATGCCATCTTTAGATTCATAACAAAGACTTGACCAAAAAAACAAAAACAAAACAGTAAAGGTTGAATAAAAAGGATTTATTTTATAATATGTTGGTTTAAATAGATTTTTTGTAGATTCAGACATTATATATATATATATATATATATATATATATATATATATATATATATATATATATGTATCTCTACATATACCTTATTATGACTAATCTTTCAAACAAATTCTAATAAATGTTATTAATTTAAATTATGTTTTCATGATCAGCCACAACAGAACCTATCAATCCATTACACATTAACCTAGCATGTGTAATCTCTTAGCTCCGCATGGACCGACACGTCTCGATAGTCAGCTCCGCTGCTCTTCAGGACGGCGGCCAGTGGGGCCTGGGCGGGTGGAGCAGAGGACCGGCGTCCCATCACGCGGTCAACTGTGGCCCGGCCGGAGCCGTCAGCGCCTCCCGGAGGGCTGACAGACGCAGGTGGAGGTGCCGGCGGCAGGTCAGCTCGGCCGCTGAGCCGTACCCAGCAGGTAGAGGCACAGCAGGTTCAGCGCTAGCAGGACCAGCACCAGCCCAGTGAGAACCTTCTGCACCCACAGACACGAGTTCATTTTCTGCTCCAGTCGAGAGTTGCAGGCCATCACTCGCATAAGCTGGTTAAAAAAATAAAATAAAATAAAATAAAAAACAGCTGGAGTTAGGGTTGGGACTGCATATCACAATTTTATCAGCAAAAAATATTGCTTGCATAGGAGTCATGATGCATTTGTGCTTTGTGTGCAGGTGGTGTTTGTTAGAGGAAATTAAAGTGTTCTGGTGAAGTCATAAAGAGCCTGTGCTGCCATGCAACCAGGAGGTTTTACTGCCACCATATCAGCTGCCCCATGTCTGTTCTTTCAGGCAGGAAGCGTTCCGATAACAGGAAGTCTACAGCAAAGTCTCGGTTTAATCCAACTGAGGTCGTGCTGAGTTCAGAAAACTTGGCAGCATTTTTAAAACATTAGAGTTAAGGTGAAAATCTACATTATGTAGTGAATTAACCCTTATATTAATACCGATGATGCTAAAGTCCGTGTCAAATGTCTATACAATTTGTCTCGATAGTAACCAGAATTTTTTCTTTCCCCCCTACTATAAATAATTGACTGCCTCTGTCAGGAAAAAGCTAGAAAAATAAACATTTTAAATGATTATGATAGAACAGGCTGCAGGCGTTTCGTTTGATCAAATTGGACTTACTTCTGGGATGAAACAAACAGCACACTGACGTCATGCAACCTTTGACTGTACTTGGCATTAATAACTTCTGAATGAGCTGGAGCCTAAGTCTCTATGTGTCCGTGGTAAACTTCAATAGTAATGGCACCTATGCCTTTAGCTTACGCCCAGTGATGCATGCGTAACGGCAAAGTGGTGGCGTTGTGAAAATCCTGGCATCAGAACTCACCGTCGTGCTCAACTCCTGCTGCCCGTTGGTCGATGTCTCCCCCAGGCTGTCCCTATGAGGGACGGCTGCCGACTTAACACTGTCCAGAACATGACAACGCAATCTGCAAGGAGGTCAGAGTCCAATGAGCAGATGTGCAAAACCGGCCCCACTTGATCAAAAAGGTACTTAGAGATCGACATGAAAACATGTAAAATGTGTTAGAAATGTGAAAATGTGTCTTCTTTCTCCTCGAGAGGAGAAAGAAGAGTAGTAAGAGGAAATTTGGATTCAAATTAACTCTCATATATAGACTTAGTATGATTAATTCCTACTGAATTAGTCAACTCTGATATGCAAATACAGCTTAGTAAATTAGAAAATGATCAAAAAGTTGATTTACTATAGGAATTCACAATGGACAAGGTCTTACTGCTCATTTATGGATGGATAGAAAGCATACATGTATTAACCGTTTTCATTTTCATGTTGACTGGTGTTTTACAATTATGTAATTGTCCTCCACTCTGTCTACATCGCATTTTATCAACAGGAGAAATAAAAGGAAACGAATACACACCGGTGCTCCATGATTTTGTTTTTTTGGACATCCTTCCAGAATTGAGTGAGTTCTTGTGATCCAGTGTTTTCCATTTCTGCAGCCATGATCAAAAATCTATCTTGTGGCGAGGCCTGGGAACCTGCACAGAACGCATCCATAAAACCATTTCAATAAACTATTATGGTTGATTTTGTAAAAAGTGGTGGGAGCAGGTCTGGGATCTCATGATTTTTGCTGGCAATATAACTTTTAATAAACCAAAGATATCGATGAATTGTGCTGTGACAATAAATGTGAGAATTACCTGGAAAGTAACAAAAATCAGTGGCAATAAAACTGACTTAAATTACAGTTTGAAAAACCTTTGTAAGGAAAAGAAGAAGAAAAAAAAATCAAGACAGCAGCATAAAAACCAAGGTAACAGCCAGGTTTGCTGATTCTCCTCAGATACGCTCAGCACATCAAACCTCAAACTGACGTGTCGGTGTTTGAAGGTTGCACTTTGGTTCAACTCTCTGTCAGCTACTTGACTGTTTTGTTTTGGGAGGGGGAGATTCTTTTATCTCACCTGAAATATGCATGTCGGGCAAAGAAAAAGTGACTGCCTGCACTTTGGGGAAGGTAACGCAGTGCAGCGTTTGATTATTCTAAAGCTCAGCTGCTGCGCATAGCGTGCAGAGCGTTAAGTGCTGTACCTCCATGCAAGGACACCACTATGTCCACCGAGGCCCCCGGTTCACAGCTGCTGCTGCTGGGCTTCACCCGGTACTTCTCGGGCGCCGTGGTGCGAACCTGCGCACGCAGAGGCACACGGGGCTCGTTAATTAAACGTTTTGATTCGTTACCAAGCGCGACGGTGTGATGACTCTCTCGTAACGCCAGAGTGAAATGATTTCACAATTACCTTAAAAGCCACCTGATTTTTGGTGACGTTGCTCAGAATAATAAGGCATTTCTTCTCGTTCTCACCGGAACCAAAGCTGAGCTCCTCAGAAGGACTGAAGCAGAAAAGAGATGGAGAAAAAAAAAAAAAAAAAAAGGGTTTTTGTTACAACTACAGCACAAAAAAAAAAAAAAAAAAATCATTTGAATCAAAACCAGAGGCTCATATATTAGAAAATGTGGCAAAAAAACAAAAAAACAAAACAGCCTCGGTTTTCATTTGTCACTCCACACGCTTTGTTATTAAATCTTATTACATTCCGTTCTGGTGCATTTCTCGTTCCTTGGCGTCTGTGAGGTCTAATTATCTGGGGATATGAACCTTTTCCTACTAACCACCATGCCTTCCCTAAGGGACAGTTTCTGTGGAAATGTGCTATAAAGAATAAAAATGGAATTTCTTTGTTTATATATTGGCTACAAACTATATTTTGCCTCACTGTGAAGGGAGGGGAAAAAATAAACGGATCCTGACTATTGATGTGTCAATCAACATTCAAGAAATAAAGACATGAAGAAAAAAAAAAATTCCTGAATCTTAAACTCAGTTGAATGAAAATGGTATTTATAGCACCCTCCATACTTATTGGCCAGTCAATTTATCTTTTATTAGAGCAACATAATTCTACACTAAAAATTCTGTAAAAACGTCACCCTTTGCTAATCGGGCCAAAGGACATCCGAGGACTATCATACAAAAAAGAACAACTTGAGCACAACCCGTTTATTATACTTGGACAAATAAAGCAAATGATTTGTTTAAAAAAAATGGTTTATATTCTTTAAGTGTTTTTCTCTTATATTCTTAAGAGAAAAACTGAAGCAAAACAGAAAATATTTAACAATACCCAAGGTAAAGTGTCTTTCAACATATTCATCTTATTCTCTTGCCAGAAATAAACTCAATGGTGAACTTGGTTTTTCACTGCAGAATTTCTTCACCACTCAAATTACAATACTGAATTTTTCAGTGTGCCACTATACTACCGTGATAAAAATAATTAACTCACCTTAAAAAAAAAAAATAAAATATGAAGATAATTCAAAACAAGACTGCTCGGTATAAAGACCATGAACTTTTTCTAGTGCAGTCCTTAGGTTATTGGTTGTTGAGCTGTGGTCCAGTTTAAATTAACAGGAAATAATAATAATAATAATAATAATAATAATAATAATAATTGTATGTGGGTTTTTAAAAAATCTACCAACAAAATTAAGCTATACGTTAATATAAATTACATAAGTGATGCAACTTCCACGAAAAAAACAAAACAAAACAACAACAACAAAGAAACACACACACAAAAGTAAATGTTCCCACTTTAATTTCTGAACTTATCCCAATGGAAAGTTTATTAACAGATGGGTATTTTTGTTTATTGGAGCAGAAAATCTAAATTTGGCATGAGATGAACAGCCAACAAAATAGAGCAACAAATTTTATAGCCAAAAGGAGAAAAACAAAACAAAAAAAAACACAAAAAGCCCAGTGCTTTATAATTTAGGCACAACGTTCTTTTTGCTTTCCTTGTGATGAGGAGCACCTAATTTGTCCTCCAATCAAGTTTACAGCAGTCCAATTTGCAGGGCATGTGATTAGACCGACTTGGCTTCAGTGCACAGTGAACACTGGGGACCTAAGCTTTGCAAACAAGGAAACCAGTATAGATTTTAATATTTTATTTAAATGCAGCCTAGTTATGCTCCATGGCCTAAAACTGCCAAGAATAAAGCCTTTTTTTCCCCTCTCTTCTTAATGGCCTTGTGTATTCTTTTCTCCCTTCAAACAGCTGTAGAAACAGGCTCAGAGCGAGCCTAGGAACCTCTGGCAAACACAAGATCAAAGACCACTACTCTCTTCTGAAGCCCCCAGCCTTGAATTAAAAGCTAACAGAGCTCCGAAGTATAACTGCATTTAAGGCTCGGTTTAATCGGTTTATCTCTATAATTCACAGCTCAGAGCAGTCAGAAATCCTCACTTCAAAGCCGCCACACAGTGGAAACAGAACTCGGCTGACATTATTCTTGAAAATGACATCATATAGTATGAGGTTTAAAACAAAACAAAACAAAAAAAAGTTGCAGCACTTGAAACAAATTGATTTGAATGTCAATAAATAATGGATTCAAATTCCTATGAAAATGTTCCTTTTTTTATGTTTTTGCAATATTACATGTTGGTGGAACACAAGTTGCCCATTATTGTGAAATGGTAGAGTGATTTTATTAAAACATGTTTTTATTAAAACAAACAAAAAAAAAATGTTATTTTGAAATCAGAATAATTTTCTTCCACTTGACAATCACAAATAAGACATATTAAAGTTTGCGGTTGTTCTGTGAAAAATGTTTCAAAAGGTCAAAGGGTAAGCCTCCTTCTGCAAGGCTTTTTCTGAACGACTGTGTGCCGTGAAGGAAAAGAGGATCCTGGCGCCCCTGTTGAGTGGTAATTAATTGCTTGCCGGCGTTTCTTAGTAGAATGGGTTTCAGCGTTTGATTTACAACACCAACTCATTTTTAATCAATGAAAGATCGACTGGAAACATCCTGGATTCCTGCTCGCGTCTCACAAGATCAATCAGGGCAAAAAGGCAGAAAAACATCAATAACGACCTGAAGCGTCAAGTCGATGTGTGAAAAACTTAACTTTTTGCAACCAAAAGAGAAAAGAAAAAAAGTGCATTTTTTTTGTGCACCGATTCAAATTACAACTATTTTACTCCATCTATGCATTCTATAAGGCACCAGTATATCAATTTTATTATAAACATTTCCTTCAAAATGTTTTAGAATGATAATATTTGGCTACTGGGAATTTCTTCTTCATATGTTGTGAGCAAAGAACAAAAAACATAAACTACATTTCCTTCAAAATGTTTTAGAATGATAATATTTGGCTACTGGGAATTTCTTCTTCATATGTTGTGAGCAAAGAACAAAAAACATAAACTACTAAAATAACAATTAGCACCGGGATAATAGAATAAAACAATCACATGGTAACTAAGATGGCTACCCTGGCTTCAGGTCTTACAAATGAGTTTTAAATCCAGCATAGAAGCACATTACAACACAGCCTGATTACAGCTGGAGATAAGATCCAGATAGGTGCTATCATGCCTAACCGTTAGTGCTGCTAGGTAAAAGCAAACCGATACGTTCTGCCCTATTTGCGCTGAAATGAAGCAGCGAGGAGAAATTCTGCAGGGGCCTGAACAAACACTCAGAAATGGGTTAAAACTCACAAAGGGATTGTGCATTAATTGTGCGCTCAGCATGTACCGTTTCAGGCTTAGGTTTTAGCATGTGAGCCCGTTTGCTCAGATCGTCTTCTGAAACACTTTTCAGAAGACGACTACAACATGGCCAGACTGGATAAATTAATATGTCCCGGTCTTATTTTTTTTTTAAAATGTGGACAAAGCTCAATTATAATTCCAGCTGACTCACACAGTTAAAATCAACGTCACCAAAGCTATGCAGAAGTGTGGACGTTTTTTTTTTTTTTTTTTTTAAAAAAAAAAAACCCTTCCCCTTTTGTTCTTTTTCACTCTCCAGTTCTTTCATACTTCCTGCTACAATTACTGTTATATTCATCAACAAAGAGCACAGTCATTTTCATATACGACCTTCATTTGTATAGCAACGGCGGAAAATTTCCGTGACAGTTTTCATATCGTTACGCTCAAACACGGACGAGAAAATGGTCTTTGTGAGACTTCCTGCTTTTGTAGGTGTGATGAAAACAGTTTGATGTGTCGATAGTTGTGCACACGGAGTCACGAGTAAAGTTGGCTTGGCTGCAAATATAAATGGAGCAGTTTTCTATGTCATTTACATGTACAGCGGATATGAAAAGCGTAACCACGACTGTTGGAAGGTCGGGTCTTAGGGACTCATAAAGGACAAGGACACCAGAGGGAATTATTTCAAAGCTTCTTTGTCTTTAATGTAACATTTATCTGGTAAATACTGATACTAAAAAAATTAACAAATCTATTGGGAAGGAAAAAAAATAAAAATAAGTGTAGTAACTGGTTGCAAAAGTGTTTGCATCCTTTACCAATACTCCAATTAACTATTCATTCAGTTTCAGCAATCAGAATATTTTATATCCACTGTATAGAAATATGGATTAATATGCTGGATTGACCTGCTAGAAAACTAGCAGCAGCATATTTATATTCCCACATGGGTCCATAGCATGATGATTCAGAGTGACAGACAGCTACGCTCTCTGATCCATCAGTTTCTTGTCAGTCTGCATGACTTCACACTTACTCCTAAAGGACTGTTTGTTAAAAGGAAGGGCAAAGACGGAAAGGACACAAGCTAAAAAAAGAAGAAAAAAAAACAAACAAACTGGTTTTTCTTAGGTAAGGACCAGATAAAATAATCTTGAAGTAAGCATCCAAAACACAACACTTTGCAGCACTTTAGACTATTAGAAGTTGATAAAAATTACAATAGACTAACATTAAAACAATGAATATTCACCAAAAACTAAGTTTAGTCTATCTTTAAAGATCCAAACTTAAAAGTAAAGCAAGAAGACAAGGAAAAGCTGCAGTTTGTCCCATTTGGTCTGGGTTTTTATCCATTTAAAATATTTATACACATCTATGCCATCAACCATTAACCACCCTTGATAACTGATGTTTTCAAACCTAAGAAACTCAATACCTTAAATGAAAGTCTTTCGGCCAACCGATTTCCTGCATTTTGGGAGATCGATACTTAGATGTGAATCTGATCTCTTATCCCCCGATCTTGGCTACGTCAAAATAAAATCCTAAAAATGCAGTTAACAATAGTCACCCCACTGTTGCTAACTCGGCGACATTCTTGATATAGTTAGCAACATAAAACAAAAACAACAACAACAACAACAAAAAAAAACTATTGGTATTGACCAAAATTGGAATCTGAAGGTCAGGCTTTTTAAAGATCGGTAATCGGCGATCAGCCAGAAAACTACAATCGGTGCACCCCTAGTGATTACAGATGGATTATATCCGCTGGTCATAAAAAAAAGATTATATCCAATCAATCTACAGTTAAGATGTTGTTTGCTTAAGACAGGGCTGTCCAAAGTCGGTCCTCGAGGGCCGGCATCCTGCATGTTTTAGTTCTCTCCCTAGTGATAGTAACAACCTCCTCAGCAAGTCAATGTTCTCCTTAGGCCTTCTAACGAGCCATCGTTTGATGCAGGTGTGCTAAACCAGGGAGAGAACTAAAACATGCGGGATGCCGGCCCTCGAGGACCGACTTTGGACACCGCTGGTTTAAGATATTAAAAAGGGGTAGTTCTAGTTCTAGAGGCCTCACAAAAATATTCACACCACTGGATCCACGTTTTTTCATGCTACAACCACAAACTCAAATGTATTTTATATGTCCTCCCAACTCCTGTATTTAGTTGAACATGAGGACTAAAAATGTAGTTAACAATAGTCTCCCCACTGTTGCTAACTCGGCGACATTCTTGATATGTCGCCGAGTTGAGGACTGGTCAACTCTGACCAGTCCTCATGCCCCTCCTGAGGAAAAGCCATGATGCTGCCTCCTCCGTGTTTCAAGGTGGGGAGGACGTGTTCAAGTTGATGTGCTCCCTTAGTTTCCCATGCTATTTATCTTATGGGAGACTAATAAATTATCTTATAAATAATATACACATAAAGTGAGAAGATAAAGCGGGGCCTACCTAACATCTAGCAGAAGACCTTTGAAGGTGGTGAGCGGCTTCCTGACTCCTTTCACTCTCACGTTTGTGTCTCTTTCACCGTCCTCCGACCTTAAGCTTTCTTCTAGAAAATTCACCTGAAACGGAAAAAGACCACATAGTTAGAAAACACAGAAAAGACACAGAATGTAATCATCGAAACCTCGCCTAGCATCCCGTCTTATAATCAAACATTTGACCTTTGGCCTCCAAGTAGAGGTCTCTATGAGTTAGTACAAGAAATCACAGTCAACTTTAATTAATAAGCTACTCTGTGAAAAAAAAAAAAAAAAAAAAATGAAATGTCATCGTTACCAGAATGAAATCCTAATAGAAAAACTTTATTTTTACTTTGTGGATGTACTGTCAATCAGACTCCTGAATTTTGCTCTTGGCAGCATCCAGAGAGAATGGAAAAATAAAACCAAGCATATCCATGAAAATAAGGAACCAGTGTAACCCTGTAATCTCATGACTTTTGACATTAAAAAAAAAAACAAAAAAACCTCATGAACCAAAGTAGGTCATTCGGGATAGAGTCATGAGATACCTCACACGGGGGAGCAGCAAAAGGCTCATGAACTTTGACCCGAATCCTTCCCAGACAGAACACCGACCACACAAAGGCTGACTAGACAGGCAGACGTGCTACATGACCGGCTGAGCCTTTAAAATATATGGATGCTTGAGCCACAAAGAATGTACAGTGGATGGGACAGTGAAAACATCAGGAGACGGTAAACGAGAGTAAAGGAAGGAGCCAGTTGGGGGAAATGCGTGAGCAAACACTGCTGACTCAAAGGGGAAGTGTGTATTCCCAGTTTATAAGCTAAAAAATTTGCAAAGTTGTGTCTCCCTTTCTTGCAACTGCATCCTAAAAAACAAAACAAAAAAAAAAAGACATCAGGAGATTGTCAGCTTCCAGTTTGATTATTTATTGAATTTCAAGAGAAAACTCAACACAATTATGTAAGAATCACATGTAAAGTGATTTGAAAAGTATAACAACTTCAAATTAGAGGGAAAAGTAAATGCTTAAAAGGAGATTGCACTTTATTACAGATACTGGAATTAAAAGTACATTGTAGTGATGAGAACAATCATTGGCCCCATTTCTGACTCCCGTAATACAATTTCAAAAATCCATTATAGATTAATAGGGAACAAAAAAATAGAGGGCAATCTAATACGAGAAACAAATTAAGAGGCTATAGCAGAATGAAGAAATTAAAGATCATTATAAAAGAAAGACATTTAAAATGCTCTTTCCATACATTGCACAATAAATGAAATGAATAGACAACTGACTTGTATTTGAAATGCACATGGTCAAGTATCCTTCTCTGCGCAATACAAATTAAGGCACACAGCAAACACTGTCAACACTGTTAAAAACTTTCAAGTTTCAGACTTGGCTAGAGATAATATCAGATTGTAAGGCACACAAGGCTTACATTAAAAAAGCAGCTTCAAATGGCAGGTTTGATTAAAGGATTAAGTGCTAGGGGTTAATAAGTTAGTCTACTGTAATAAAACAATAATTATCTTAGTAGTTATTAATCGGGAGGTTAGATGAGACAAATAATGTGAAATATTTATGGACATCAGGGAGTGTGCTGACCTTTTATAAAAGCTAATTAAACCGTGAAATGTGCGTCTCGCTTACATCGGTGTTTCCGAGGCGTGCAAAAAACCCCCAAAAAACAGCCCATTAAAAAAGGCATCATCCGGTAATCACAAGGACGCAAATTTGTTGGGGCCAAATTGGAAATGTGAGGTCCATGACGGGCGAAGGAATGGGCTCGTGTAGGAGCGGTGGTGGGAACTTGGGTCGACTTTAGCGGGAGGCGTACTCATGTCACATGAGTACAACCTGCCTCTCCAGCCTGCAGAGATCTTCCAGACATGGAGCTTCTGCTGTGGTTGTGATCCTAAAATCGCTTTACCACAGCCAGCCCTTGTTTCCGCAACCAGAAAAGGGAAAAAAAAAAAAAAACAACAAAAAAGAAAGAGAAAATTAGCTTAAAGGAGCCATTAAGCCATCAGTTCAGTGCTTCTGGACCTCAGAGGACATCAACCAGACAGATGGTTGATGTGGGGAAGGTGGAGGCGTGTCTGAAAGAGACTTTTATTCATTTAGATAAGATGGATCAGAAGGAAAAGAATTAAATGTTGTGCGGAATGTGCTCAGACGAGCTCAAAGCGCCGACAGCCTGTTGTAACAACACAGAACCACATGTTTAGTCACACTTACGGCAAGAAATTCAACAACAACAAAAAAACCCGACACTCTACATTAATACTTTTATGCTAAAAGAAAAAGACCAACTAAAACCCTAACCTGTCAGTCAGTCAGCATTCCCATTCCTTCACCAATCTTTCATTTCAACCTTTTCCTTTAACTGGTCATCCTTGCTTTAAATACTTATATCACTTATAAAATATGGGTTTAGGTATGACCCTACAAAGTAGCAGAGTCACACAGCACCGCCACACCGCTGCTGCAAACTGCCAGTCAGCTGACTGAAAGAGGCTTCTGCACTTTCCTCTTGTTTTTCCTGCCTGTCTGGAAATACTCCCAGTACTGAAAAAATGCACAGAATCCTGTTGTGGAAACTAAAGAAGAACCTTCCCCACTATTATTATTAGCTTGCTTTACTTCTATTAAGCGCAAGGACAAAATGCATATGATTCTCCAGAATAAAAAAAACTGAAAGCTTTGACTAGATGCCTCTAAAGAGGAATTACCATATAATACTACAGACGCTTTCCGCCAAGAGGAGGTTGTTAATAACTGGGGCCATAATTTGGTGATGGAAGCAGCTCAGACTACTGTTGTAAATGATTGCAGTTTTTCAGACGAGCTGCTCAGTGACTTTTCACCCTGAATATTCAGGAAATGTTTATTAGATCATCTGACAGCCTTATTTATAGCCTTCCTTCTGACATGCACTCGGGAATAGATTACTTTGTTTCTGAGGAGTTTCCTAAGACTGATTGTGTAAATATATTTTGACAAGCTAGCGAGAAAAACATCTTCCTCTTCCTGACATGGCTGACTTAAATAGTCTGATGCGTGGAGGACTTTTGTGCTTTTACATAAAATAATTAGCTCAAAATAGCCTTTTGTCAACTTGTACTCCTTTTGTGTATCCATGTACTTAACAGTTGTTTATTGGTTTACGTCTCTTGGTAGTCTGATAATTCTGATAAATTATGGAGATAAATGGTCATAAAAAAGACTGAAATCTCATGTATTATTTAATAATACTGTGTGCATTCTTTTTCAAAAGTTTTCCATCCCATTTTCTATAAATGCGGTTCTGATTCCTGTTTGGATCAGTCAACTTATAAAATGTTAGAGATCAACGCTGAGCAATCTCCTGCTGGCAGAAATTATTCAATGGAGTCAAATAACTCAGCTGTCAAATCAAGCATGAAAAGAACAAAATGAGAAACAAACGGGGTTTCATAATCCACTTGAAACGTCTCGCGGGAGACAGCGACTTTCTGGACCAAAAAGTCAGGAAAGAATACTGCAAAAGTACAAAATGACTCAAATAAAATAATAAGAAGAAACGATTTAAAGACAGCAATGTAACTTTTAAGAACAAATAGGATTCTTTTTCCCTACGAAGAGCACAACATAAGCTCAAACCTCAGCCTGTAGATTACACTTAGGCTGACAAGTAAATGATGTGGCTTGCTTTAAAAGTCTTAATCTCTTGTGAATAATCAGCGTGGCAGCTTTTTTAACAATCGGATCATTGTTTGTCCAGTAAAGCCTTGTGGGAGTAGCTCTGGCTAACGTGGTTCGTCTCATGTAGACTGCAGCTCAACCTGCTGTGTGTCCACATATCTGTGGACATATTACAAACCCTGACTCTCCCTTTGTCATTTGAATCCTCTATGAAGCTGAATATAGCAGTCAAAAACTTACAGAAAAAATGGAAAAAGTGTAAGTTTAATCTTTTTCAAATACGACAACGTATATATACAACGTTGTAGTACTCGCTTGTGTGTTGCAATTCTAGATTTTTCCAGACTTGATTTTCCAGAGTTCCTGGCAATTTTAGCCAATTTTTAAAGTATAAATACTTTCCATATGAGTTTATGGAAAATGTCTCTGAAGACATACACATAGATAGATGCACACATAGATAGATTATCATGGACAAAATGATAATTAGAAAGAGGAATGATGGATAAAAATGATGGTTGGATAAAAGATCGCTAGGGAAACATATAGACTGATGCATGAACACAAATCTTAAGAGAATGAGGGAGAAAAATAGAAAAAAGTCTGGAAACATTTTTTTTTCTATACTCCCATTATACTTATTCCACACTAATCCAAAATTAGAATCATATTCCAGAGTTTTACAGCTTGCGTAGAAACCCTGTAAATGTGTCCACCTTATGTCGTTTATTAATTTACGGTTTGTTTTCATAAAGCATCTTTCAAGGAAAAAAAACGCAAAAGGAAGCATAAAAATATCGTGACAGGAGATCTGGGTAATCCTGACGGGGAGTCAGAAGAGAATCTGTGACATACATGACACGAGCTGCAGGCTGTCTACATCCAGGGTGCAGCAATGAGAAACCGTACTGAGAAGGAGGCGACAGCAGCTTTAACATTTCCAGGCTGCAAGCCGTCTCAGTGATGCCGCTTCATGATGCGGGGAGGAGGAATCTTTTGACAGCATGGAAGAGCTTAAGTAACAGACCCTCTGTGGACACCATGAGGAACTGAAGAGCAGCAGCGTGCCTGTGAAGGCTTAGCTGGATTTAATGCAAGCCAAAAAAAACCCCCTAAAGAACAAACTCAACAGACACCATGAAATACAGCTTACTGATAATCACATAGCCGGCCTGATTACACTCTGAAATCTGGAGGTCCTGACTAAAAACAGGACAAGAGGAGTTTAAAATGTGCAAAGTCACAACCTGGTCACCTCTGTCTGAAATGAGTCAATCTAAAAAACTAAAGCCGGGTGCTGCTAAATGTGTCGGAGTCAAATAAATCACACTTCGTTCTCAATCATATAAGACGATACAACTATGACCCATCCAAAATCAAATTCATGAGGTCCAAAGCATAATTCTAGAAAACACATGGTGCAGCTGAGTCTCATATGTATACTTTTGCAAGAAACTAACATAATTTCTTTTTGTCATCATTTTGGGTTTTCATAGCAAAAATAAAAAGATTTATTCGATGTATTCACGAAACAATTTACCTTTTTGGGCTTTGCCACGATCTCGGAGTTGAAGCTGGACTCGAGGGCGTCTCGGCTCTCCATTTCACCCTCTTTGCTCTCGGCGTCGTCCTCGCCCGCCATCGGCCCGTTCTCGCACAGCGGGGTTTGGAAGTCATCGTCCGGAAGAGGCGGGTACGTGTACTTGAAGTGGTCCTGGAAGAAAGGGGGCACATCATCTTGCTTACTGCAAATCTGGCATGTAAAGTGCAACTGATGGGTTCCAATTTATAATTATAATATTTTATGTCTAAATTAAACAGAAAGTTATTAACTTTAAACGTGTCAGACGGGAAAAAAAAAATTGCAAAGGGAAGATGTTTTATGATGTAATGAGGTTAATAGATTCACAAAAACTACACGACCCATATAAGAGGAAAATATACACTTGATCATTTTTTAGCAATTTCTAAAATATTTTAACATCATAGCAAAACATATAGAACCTCGCATCATTAGTTGTAGTTATTGAATTTTTTTGTACTTTTTCTTACATTAAGACCACAAACCTACATGTCTCTTTGTGCGACTGCATACATCAGAGCAATATGAAGCAGGACATAACTGTAAAATTATAGAAAAGAGGTTTATGGTTTTCCAAGAGCGCCTATGGACAAAAATATGCCATGCAGTTGTATGTCATTTAATCTCAGTATAAAAGCCGCCGTTTTGTGAAAAACCTCAGAGGTATGTTAGAAAACATCAGAGAACAATTAGCAATATGAAAACTAAGGAGCACAGCAGACAGGTCAGACGTAGAAATTATCCAATCGAGTCAAATAACTCGGTTGTGAAATCAAGCATAAAAAGTACAAATGAGAAACAAACGGGTTTCATAATCCATGTGAAACGTCTCGCGGGACGTTTTACACGGAAACGTCAGGGAGAGAGTTGAGGAAGTTCAAAGTAGAGTTGGATTACAAAACAATACTCTAAGCCAGGGGTGCCCAAGTCCAGTCCTCGAGAGCTACCATCCTGCAAGTTTTAGAAGTATCCTTACTCCAACAGACCAGGATCAGCTCTACAGAGGCCTGATAACGAGCCATTCATTTGATTCAGGTGTGTTGAAGCAGGGATGCATCTGAAAGTTGCAGGATGGTAGCTCTCGAGGACTGGACTTGGGCACCCCTGCTCTAAGTATTGAACAGTTCACTGATCACTGTTCAAGCCATCATCCAAAAGCGAAAAGGACGATGCACATCTGCCAACCCAACGACGGGTAGAAAACAAGCTATCCTGACAGGACAGGCAGGTTATTATTAATCAGAATAGCAGCAAGCCAGAACAACCAAAACATACAGCCAAAGCACATTATTGAGCTAAAATGGCCTAGACCAAGGTCAAACCAAAAACCAGTTATATATCTGTATATATATATATATATATATATATATATATATATATATATATATATATATATATATATATAAAAAATAAATAGTGTGTATATATGTGTAACAGAA